AGTCTTTATTTTTCTTCTTTTTAGGGCAGCAGTAGCTCTAGCAGCAAATCAACCATCCACATCAAAAGCTGCAGGACAGCCCACATTTCAGAAACAAATCAAAGAAAAAATAAACAAATACTACTGTTCCAAATATTCTGTATGTTGCTCAAAATATATTGTGTTCAGTTATTTTTTTTTTTTACCCAGACATTTAAAATTAACACATTTTAGAGCTGTAACAACAATACCGTGATACCGTGAAACGGCGATATTTTTGCTTAAGGTTATAATACCGTCAAAATCTCATACCGGCCCATGCCTACACACACACACACACACACACACACAGAGAGAGTATGGACAGTCTGCATTAGGGTGATAAGAGTAAATGCCCAGTGGAGGGCCCGAATTACAATTGCAGTTGTCAATTGAGACACACTTTATAATTACACTGTTGATAAATGTAGTGTGTGAGTGTGAGAGATAGTGATTGGCATTGTGATGTATTCAAAGACACACACATATGTTGACTAACAGTACAACACCCCTTCAATCCAAAAACATAAATGTTTCTAGACTCTAGCAATCATCTAGAGCCATAATCCAGATTTCTGCAGAAATGTACAGTAATCATTCAGCATGTAATTAAAGTGAACATGAGCTGTTGACATGCTGAGCTGTGAATCCTTTATTGCATACCGAAGTAATTTTAAAAACTGAAACTGATTTGAAAATGACACTAACACTGTTTAAAAAGCATAGCACTAACATTTTAAATTGCAAATGGAATGGCAGTTGGTTAAAGTTTTTTGACTTGCAAATCAAAGCTAACACCCAGTTCATCAAGCAAATCTTGGGCTAATATCAGAGCAGAAATGAGTCTGTGGGCCCAGAGGGAGTAATCAACCCGCTCAAATCCTCTTAAGTACTTAGCAGATGACCCTCATCTGGGGATGGAGGGGACAACACTGTCTGCTCTGAACAGATGAGGAGGAAGGTGATTTATACACACTCCTGCTCAAACACACTTACACATAACTATGTGTGTTAGGGCTGCACGATTATGACAAAAATCATAATTGTCGATTATTCCCTTGAAATTGTAATTGCGATTATTAATTACGATTATCACAATTTACATTGAATGATGTTTATACCATTGTTTGATGCAACTGCATGCCATATTTTTTATATGAAAATAAACAAGCTGAAAACACTCTAACTGAAAAACCTTAAGTGCTTTTCTAGAGTATTAAGCATTTGTATTGTATTTGGCTTTTCTAGAGTATTAAGCCTCAAATGTCAAATATACATCGGATTGGTTTCTTCTTTAAATTATAAAAAAAGTAAAAATATGAATGGTATTATAATGTTATACTAAAACTAAAACAATGGAAAAACCCTTAAGATAACATGTAGAAAGAAAAAAACATATCTTAAGCGTGCAGAATAACATAAGTGGACTTTGAATGATTAATTGCCGCTTTGAACGATTACGTAATTGTGGCATCCATAATTGTAATTGCGATTAGAAATGCGATTAATTGTGCAGCCCTAATGTGTGTATATACATATATATATATACACACACACACATATATATACACACACTACCGTTCAAAAATTAAATGTTACAAAAAAATATTTACATTTCAAATAAATGCTATTCTTTTGATCTTTTTACTGGTCAAAGAATGTTGAAAACAATCATCACAGTTTCCACAAAAAAATGTTAAGCAGCATTTTCAACATTGATAAGAAATGTTTCTTGAGCAGCAAATCAGCAAATTAGAAATATTTCTGAAGGATCATGTGACACTGAACTGAAGACGAGTAATGGTGCTGAAAATTCAGCTTTGCATCACAGGAATAAATTACATTTTATATAACAATAGAGAACAGTTTTGTGAAATTGTATTTTTTTTTCATTGTGAAATTGTAATAATCTTTCACTACACACACACACACACACACAGTTTCAACCAGCTATTTAATATTTCTACCATCTAATAAATCAAATCTGTAGAGAAAGTTAGAATTGAGAGCGTAAAATGAGACAAGAGTAAACAGACAGACAGGCTAACAGAGAAACCAAAAGATAGAGAGACAGACAGACAGAGAGATAGAGTGTTGTATGGTGAACCACAAGCAGTGGGAAACTAATGAGCAATTGATAGACTTTCAGACGTCTAACTGAGCAAACGCTGTTGGGTTTCTCTCTCAGAATATATCTGGGCTAAAAATGCCCTTAACAGCAGTGAAAACGAACAACAGAACCACAAATGATGTCCCAATTCAATATTTTCCACAGCTTGTCAGAAACATACAAATATACAATGATTAGGTGCACAGGCTCATTTTCATGGCTAAAATATTGATGTGAGCCACATGTCACACTTAAAAGAGAAACAACAGTGACAAAACAGTACCCCAAAAACTGAAAATAGTCATCGAAATTCTTGCAAACCACCCTGAAATTGATCAAGTGTCGCCCAGAGGCTGACAGACACTGTACGTGAGTGGGACATAACTCTTTATGACAACACAAGCAGCATGAATCTGGCAATGGAGATAAGCATGCTTTCATTTTTCATACACATCATCTCAGTTGCGAGGATCTTCTCTCCACTCAAACCCGCTGTCCAACACAGCACTGGACTTGCCAGAAACAACAAAGACTGTTAAAGCTGCCCGGATCAAGTTATTTACATACATACATAAACATACATAAAAAGCCGTACTCTAAACCCATATTCATTTTTTGTTTGATGTGGGACACACACAAAAAATTAGGGCTGCAACTAACGATTATTTTGATAATCGATTAGTTGGTCAATTATTATTTCAATTAAAAACAAACAATTTTATTTTTTTATTTTATTGACAAAAACACATTATTCCACATTCTGCCCAATGTCCTTAAAACAAACGTGCCAACTGAATGCTATGAAAACATACAGTGCTTAACAATTTATTAGACCACCTGTCATAATAAAGAGAAAACATTTATTTTATGCAGCACCAATTTTATGTAAGCAATGAGAGACTTAAGGCTTTGCTATACTGTATTCATTATAGTGCCTTATTATTGCTTGATAGTAATTGGGTTACAGTAAGTCTGCAGTAATTATAATAATAAAATAGAAGTCAATGAAAAGTACCATTTAACTAGTTAAATGTGCGTGTGTGTGTGTGTATGTGAGAGTGAGTGAGAGAGAAAGAAAGAGAGACAGCGAGAGAGAGGGATGTTAGAGGGACTGATAATTTCACATTATCAAAGACAAAGTGAGAAAACCAAAGAAATAAAGAAAGAAAACAGACAAATGCTATAAGGGATGAAACAGCTTTTACCCATCCAGTGTGATGTTCGCTGCCTGTCATCACAACTGCAGAGGGTAAAAGACACACACACACACTACACACTAACCGTGGAGTTGAAGCGCAGGTGGCAGATATTGCATGAGATGACCTGTTTTTTCTTCAGGGACTGAGGAACACCAAACGTATGGTTTATCACAGCCTTCTGCACCGGGTCCATCTGAGGGAGGGGTGAGAAAATTAAGTTAAAATGGACTGGAAAAAAAAAAAAAAACATTTATACAAATCACTTACTTTGAATCAACAGACTCACTCTCTGCTGATTCAAACACATTCCTTCTATCCCAGCGGCAACCCTGAACCTGACGCCCGGGGCCAAGGGACTTTCCCTTGACACCCCTCGCCATGGGAACACACACCACATCACAATGACTCTGCAGCTGGTTCGCACGTCTATTTGTTTTAGAGCCTCAAGAATGTTCTTGTTGTTCATCCGCAGCCATCCCTGACCGGCTGGGACACTGCCAGGTCAATGTGTGTGTGTGTGTGTGTGTGTCTGATGAAGCCGCATTGTTGACTCTGAGTACTGGAGAGGGTCAGGAGATGGTGGAGCATGATATTAATGCAGGAATGAAGGAGATGTGAGATGAGATGAGACAAGAGATGACACCATAGTGAAGAGATGAGAGAAGAGAGGAGAAAAGATGAGATAAGATGAGCAGAGCAGAAAACAAAAGCAACAGTAAAAAGATGAGATGAGAACAGATGACAAAAGACAAGAGGAGAATACATGAGATGAGATGAGCAGAGAAATAATGACAAGACAAAAGATGCAATAAAGAGATGAGACATAACATGAGAAGAGAAGAGATGAGACGAGAAGGAGCAGTGAAAACAAAAGAAGAGAAGGATCAAGAAGAAACAAGAAGAGAAGGACGAGACGCAAAGCTGTAAAATCAAGAGAAGGGATAAGATGAAGAGTAGAACAGTAAAAATGAGAAGAGATAAGAAAAGATGAGAAGAAATGAGCCAAGATGAAAGGTCTAGCAGTAAAATCAAAAGAGAAGAAAGAAGAGACGAAGAGAGACAAGAAGAGAAATGATGAGACAAGAAGCAAAGCAGTAAACTCAAGAGAAGAAGTGAGAAGAAAAGAGAAAAGAACAGACAAAATGAAATGAAGCAACATAAGATGAGAAGAGACGAGATGTGGAGAGAAGACAAAACCATCAGAAGATGAGACAAGAGACAACACATCATGAGGTGAAAAGTAAAGAGCCAATAAGAAGACAATACAAGATGAGAAGAGAAGCAGTAAAAACAAAGAGAGAGAAGAAAATAAAAGACGAGATGAGACAACACAAGATTCAAAGAGAAGAGAGGAGACAGAGAGAGGACAAAACCATCAGAAGATGAGACGAGATGACACATCATGAGATGAAAAGTCATGAATCAATAGGGAGTCAATACAAGATGAGATGAGGTGAGAAAAAGCAGCTGTAAAGAGATGACATGACACAACCACTGGTGGTGGCTGAGGAGAGACCCCCCCACATGATTGTAAAAAGCGCTTTGGGTGTACAACAATACACAATAAAGCGCTATATAAATGCATCATTCATTCATTCATTCATTCATTCACAAGAACAGAAAATAGAAAAAATAAGACAAAAGAAGTAGTAAAGAGAAAAGGAGAGAAAAAACAGAGCAGAGGAGACTACAAGAGCAGAGACAAGAAGAACAGAGAAGAGATGAGAATACTAAAGCAGCAGTAAAGAGAAGAGGAGAGGAGCAGTAAGGAAAGCACAGGAAAGCAGTGGAGGATAAGAGAGGAGAGAGGTCACTGACAGCTACTTTGCTGTAGAGACAGGTGCATTTATCACTCTAGTACACACACACACACACACACACACAGACTGATCTGATCAAAAAGAGAACCCGTACCTGACTATATATTAACAGCCCATATATGCGATAAAGATGTGCCATTGGTGTCTAAGATATATTATTTTTAGTCTTTTAAAATATTAAATGTTTTTAACCAACATTGTACTCATGAATATAACACATGGAGTGTGTCCGTCCAGAATGCAGATATCAGAAGAAAGAGAACCCTGTTACACACAAACTGCCTCCAAAACTGTGCTCAGAGAGTCTGAAACTAAATCTAGATCCTAATCTGAGCCACTGCTCGAGTCTTAAATCTAAAATTACTATCTAACACAATACACCTCTGTTTAGCGGCCCTTTTTGCAAACATTCTGCACTTTTAAAAATACCCTGCAGTCTGCTGAACCGTTCCTGACATTTAGAGATGACATTTGGGACCCAACGCGATGCCTTTAAAATGTTCTGAGTTAACTTTAAATGATGACACATTTGGGAAGGTGAGGTTTAGAAAATAAAACCAAGAGAGTTGATTAACTCACAGTGTTGAAGTTGGGGAACAGGCTGAGAGGGGAGGAGCCACTGAGACGGAAGGGCAGGAAGTGTTTCAGGTCCAGAGGGGTCTGCAGCGGGCGACCCTGCAACGGTAATGAGGCCAGCAGGGGGCTCCCCTGAGCAGCCATACCTGAGAAGAGCAACAACAATAACCAACACATATAAGAGAAAATCACCACTGTTCAGACCAAGTGCAGGAGAGTATTTAAATCAAGCAATTAGGGCACAAACACAATGATCAATGAAGAGAAAGGGGAAATTTAATAACACAGTTCAGTTAACCAGGATCTAATGAGTTTTAAATCATCATTATTCTGACACAATAACACATTGAATGATCTGATTACAATTATTGTTCTATCTATTCAGAATTAATTGTTAACATTGCATGAAAAAAAACAACAACAAAAAAAAACAATCAGCCCAAGAGGATCTCATGTGATTTTTTAAAGTGTATCAAGTTCATATAATTTAATTTTATGTATTTTTCACTTTTGAACAATACATTTCAAGTTGTTCATGATTGTTACGGTTTTAAAAATTCACAAAGAGAATATAAGTAAATTCATAACAAAGTATATTCACTACTGACTTCCACATGCTTTTTCCAAAAAAAAAATCAGATTATATAACTAACCTGAATTCACCCCTACAAATAACACTCTTTACAAATGTAGTACATGACGAATGGATAGTTGACAAAAACATGTCTATCAACCTTTTCTTTTCAGCATTGAGACTGTAGGTTAAAATTTATATAATTAATATGAAAGTGCATTTTAGATGCCTACTCTGCAACATTTTTTGCACTTTTACAGTGAATATCATCCCAACACTTCAGATGAAAACACTTAGTCTCGCGTAGCTAGACCTTCAGACTGACGGCTGAAGGTCTGGAATCCATGGCAGCTTTTTATAAAAAAATATACTCAAGTAAAAGTACCATTACCTTCCAAAAAATGTAGTGTGAGTAGAGTAAAACTACTTGAGTAAGAGTAAAAGAGTAGCCTATTTAAAAGTACTCATGAGTATTGAGTAGTGAGTACTGAGCTGTGGATTCTTCCCCCTCATAATAAACGCTGTACACCGCAATTTATCCATTTTAAAAACGTTGTACATTTTGTAATTCACATTATCTTGTTTGTCATAAAGAATGAAGAATATCTATTATCCAGCAGTTTTAATTTTGACTGCCAACTCCTTAAAGGGGTCATATGATGCGATTTCATTTTTTCCTTTCTCTTTGGAGTGTTACAAGCTCTTGGTG